AATTATTATAATATAATATTATATAATTATATAATATAATAATTAATATATTAATATATAATTTTAAAAATAATTATTATATAATAATATAATAATATAAAAAATATATAAATTAATGTGAAAATTTTATATATTATTTTTTTTTATATGTAATATAAAAATTATGATTTGATTTATATACATTTTGTTATGATAAATCTCATCTATTAAAATATTTGTAAAATATTCATTATTTTCGTTATGTATGTTAAAAAAAGAATTTTTAAATAAAGATTTTACTTTTCAAAAATAAATTGCAAAATAAAAAGAGAAAAAAAAAGAAAAAGAAAGTTAATGAACTCGTTGACAAACGGAAGAGATCTTACTTATCGCAGAATATAGAACGTTTCTTCTCTATTCTAACAATTTCCCGAATGATTTCCTGAGAAGAATAATGAAGATGAAAAGGAAGAAGAAGATGAGAAGGAAGAAGAAGAAGAAGAGGAGGAGGAGAATGAAGAGGAAGAAGTGACATAGTTGTTGAAAATAATGTAAGAAGGAATCGTTTAAGAACGAAACGATATTTAATCACGATTAATATCTAATTATTATTTTTATTTATTATTAGTTTTAATTATGATTACCTGTGCGCCTCGAAGCACGGCTAGACGGGCCTCCTTTTGTTCAAGGAGACGCCTCTGTTGAGCGATTTCCCGTTGTTGCCTGGCCGCCATGCTTTCAAGCTCGCTGAGCACCAGCACAGCACCACCCCCGCCCACTGGTAACTGAAACAAATAAATAATCAAAGGTTTATTAATTAAAAACAAAAATAATAATTAATTGCCTATCTATTTATTTATCAATATGAAAATAAAATCGTGATATCATTTGTTTCATTTTCGTTTATTGTTTCAAATTACATTTCAATTAGACTTAAAACACACTTTAATGGCCGCTCGCGTAACATCTGTGTGTGATAATCGAAATAACTGTTATTGGCTGGTATTTATTTATATAACTTTATTTATATATATTAATATAATATTTAATTTATATATTATAATATTAAAAATTATATATTAAAATTTTTATAAAATGATATAAAATTAAGTTTGTTGTTAAATTGTATATTTAAAATTATATAAAATTAAATTTATTGTTGTTTTTTCGTTTTATGTTAATTTTTTCGTGAATTTAATCAAGTTTTTTGCAAATTAATTCTTCGAAAAATATTACCAGCCCCTGGCGATGTTTTACTGCGTAAACGTGCGGCCATTAAAGTGTTAAGTGTAAACAAATATATTAACTTATATGAAAAAGGTAAAAATGGACAATGAAATTGGTATTAAATCTGGAACAACATGGTTAATAATTGTATTTTTTTTTTTTTTTGATACAACCAATTTAAGTATACTTATTGTTATGGTATTTAAAATATAAGATTTTTATTAATACAATTACAAAATATGAGAATTATAAGATACTTTATTTCATTCTGATTTTTCTTTAAACTTCGAACTTTCGTTTTAAAAATTGTTCTACTTTTATTCGTTTAATCTTTTAAATCTTTCTTTTCTTCTTACCAACCCCCTTACCCCAACCCAACACACACCCTTGGTCGTAAATTAAACGGGGTTTTCCTTTTCTCTTTCTTTTTATTCCTGTTTTTTTTTTTTTTTGAATCTTTATTCGACTGACAGTTAATTATTTCGAAATCTGACGAGAAACCAGAATGGGTTTAAGGATCTAACCCCAAATCGTGGTTTAAAAAGGATCGACCATTTCAAAGAGGGGGAGATAGAAAGAAAAATGGTCTCATAGGGTGGGAAGGAAAAAGAATAAAAAAAAAAAGTAAAAGAAGAAGAAGAAGAGAAATAGAAAGGAAAGAGGGTCGGAGTCGAAACCTATGATGATCCAAGGGTGGTTTGGTCCTTGAAGGGTCAATCGTTCGGTTGGTTGGTTGGTGGTTGGTTGCCATGAAAGGTGGTGCCTTGAACGATAAACGTTCTACGATCACTTTGCGAGTACCTTAAACACGTTCCGTGTCAAGTGTATCATCGGTGGTACACGTTAAACTTGATCATCAGGCCACGTATCCCATCGGTGGTACACTTAACTAGATATATTTATTCAATAAACTGAAAATATATATTATAAGTGATTTTAATTTACTTAATTAATTTTTAATAATAAATTTAATAATTTCTTATATAAATTAAATTTAATTATTAAATTAATTTATTTAATTTCAAATCGTCATGGGATTTTAGAAGAAATTCATTTACTTACTCACTTCGTATATCAAATATTTATTTTTAATTTCAAATTATTATAACTTGTAAAGAAATGAATTTTTTGATTTATTCATTTAATTTGAAAAAATTTACTTTTAATTCCAAATTATGAAAATTCGAAAAGAAATTCATTTCTTTATTTATTTACTTATTAACTCAGTCACTCATTCATTTACTCACACACTCCATTTATTTACTTACTACCTAACTTTGCTCACAATATTCTCGATGTGTCCATCGATTATTATTATTATTTCCTAGAAACTCTCCAAGTAACTTCTCTTAAACGGGGTGTTGCATACACTCTTATGCACACACACACACACACATATACAAGTATATAAACGTACATATACACGAAGATGCGCGTTCAGGAAATTAATGCCCGGAATTCTATCAAGGATGTCAGCTCGATGGAGATACGCTCGTTACGCGTCCTTCCTAACGAGCTTGCTTTCTACCCGGCAGACATTTTCATTTCAATCGCAGTTATCTACTACAATTGAAACGATAAATTATTTTAATCGTTTCTTGATATATACAACTGGACTTCAAATTATTACTTATGTTTGTATTTAGGTTTGCGTCAGAGAACGAGCGAGTTCGGGGGTGGTTCCAATAACTTCTTTATATTTTATTGTCTTTTTTTTTTTGTTATCATGACACTTAACAAATCACATTTGTGATCAACAAGCTGATCTCGTTGTTATTCGTCTATTCTTTTAAAAACTTTATTTAAAATAGTAGAAAATAGAGTTTACTTTTGAAAACTTTGAAAGAACTTTGAACAACTTTCTCTTTCTTGTTTTTTTTTCTTTTTTTTTTTTTTTTTGGAGAACATTTTTTTTTCTTGCACACGTTTAGATATGAAACGTAAGATGTGTAAATCTGTGTGAGAATAGTCGTAAATGTAAATTTCGATTCGAATGCACTCGTTCTAAAATGTCTACTATCGAACTATCGAATAAAATTGGCCAAGATTTTCTCGTAACAGTGAAAGAAGGAAACTTTATTGAAACTTTTAGAATAAGAAAAAGGGGATTTTCTTTCATCGTAAAAATACATTAGAATGAGTCTTTGATACACTCTATTACTATTACTACGTTCATTCAAAAATCACTAACCTACAATTTTCATTAAAAATTAGACTTCAAATTATTTCTTCTTCGTACGATAAACAGCCTATAACAATAGTATAACAAAATCTGTTACTATTGTAATATTTATTTTCACTGTGTTTTTCTATTAAATAGCGCGATGCGAAAAAAAGCGCATCACGAGTTGACCGATCAGCAACGTTCGGCCACAGAAACACGAATTAACTCGAGACCGGTCAACAAAGTGTTAATAATCGAAGTATTGAAACTTTACTTCGAAACTGTATAATAGTTTTTTTCTTTTTTTTTTTTGTAAAATTTACTTTGAAATTATTAACCTTTTTGGCAGATTTAAGTGGCAACTCGATTGGCGCTCATACGGCGCCCGGCTGATTTCAAGTCTTTTGTTACTCTATCTGCTTATTTATGATGTGTGATAAGATATTTCTTTTCACATATACTTAAAGATAATGCTTAAAGGGCCAAAAATGGACTGTAAGGTTTACTCTGATCGTAAACAAGTGCAAAGGGTTAATTGTTATCAATTAAAAATGAATTTGAAGTTTCAATAAAATCATGTAACTTATTGATTTTGTATCGAACAAAAAGATTAACTTTTACGTTTATTTTCAATTCCAAAAATATCTTTCATTCTCTCTCTCTCTCTCTCTTTCACCATTTATACGTCGAAGTACAATAGAATTATTTCATCGATAAATTAATTTATATCGGATTACAAAGTTGGATTGCGTCAATATGGCTTACGTTAAAGAGCATCATCTCGTAAGTAGCCTGTTCATCTCTCATACTGAATGGTAACATTTGCACGGTCTAAAGCACAAACGTCCTATATTTAGGAAACGTATTGCTGCATCCCTTTCATTGTGGGGGTGTGTGTGGTGTGTGTTCTATGTGAATATTCAAACGTAGTTCTATGTTACGGTTAATAGTAGTATCTCTCTTTCTCACTCCCTTTATCTTTCTCTTTCTCTTTCTCTCTATTCACGTTCACTATACACAACCGGACGCATACGGTGACGTACGTCCGTTCCGGTTAAGGTAACTGATCCCTTCTTATACAAGGTATCGGTTTACATAGGGCTATCCACACCTACACCCACACCTAACAGTAGATGACGACAGTGCGTGTGTGTGTGTGAGTTTTACAATTGGAGATCTATAATGATATGACCTTTGTACGAATATGAGAGAAAGATTTCTCATGTTTCTAATTAAATTTGACATAACGACGATACATAATATTTTTCTTTTTGTTTTTTCATCAATTTGTAATTTTATTTAATTAAATTAATAGAGTGATTATTATAGTTCATTGGTAAATTCATTCAAATATAATTAATATATAGGAATATTTATAAAGAAAATATCTCTCGGTAGAAAGTAAGTTATGTGATGATTAGGTTGTTAAAACAATTGTACTGGTTGGTTGTACATCAAAACGTTTGGCTAGAGGCATACACGTGTGTGTTAGAACTTTCATAAACGTTAATTCGAAATATACATACTCGAAATTTTACGTTGAGGAAGTTTTGTTTCTCTTGTTATATATCGTCCATTGGGATTTATTATTAAAAATAGTTTCAATGGTATTAATTAAATGTTCAGAGAAATTTCTACGAATTATCATATTGGTTTTAATTTTGTTTGTTTGTTTGTTTCAGTTCTTAAGTACGATTAAAATAATATCGAATTGAAATGTAATATTATTTCGATACAAATAATGATAATGATAAGAAATGGTAGATGAAATAGAGATAGAAAAAAGGGGGTTGGTTTATTATCAGTTGGTATGAAATTATTGAACGATAACTTCATTTCTCTATGCAATTTATTCATGGTGGATTCTTGTAGGAAGACAAAAAGCAGCAATCCTTTTACGTAAATTGCCAGACAGAAAGTGGTAGATCGTTTAACATTTCTTTTTTATGATCGTTTGCGAGGAATATCAAATTGATGGGGTTTATATTGCAGAATTTTTATTTTTCAACAAAAAAATAAAATCATAGGATTTTATACAATTTTTGATAACATCGCTAACTTTGTTTAACGAGTTGAAATGAAATGAATTCAATTAGAAAAACTTCTCTTAATAAAGTATGTCATATATATTTTTTTTCTAAATTATATTCAATTAATTATATAAAATTTTATTTTAAAATGATGAAATAATATGAAAAAATATATGAGCTGTAATTAAAGAAAGATTTCAATTAAAAGAACCAGGTGTTATTAATAGACACCATTGTATTTCATAGTATGCTATTAGATTTTGATTAGGTTACTTATGTTTGACCTAAAGAATAATCTAATATCGTGATGAGAAGATCGATGTATGCATAGGTATTCTCACTCTGGATGTAACTGATCATCACTACCTGTATTTCCAACACTTATTAGATCTGATTATAGTTATTACATCTGCTCGATCGTTAACGAAATTAGGTTATCACGATAAATGTAACAAATAGTTTTATCTTGCTACAAAAAAAAAAGGTTCATTATTTTTTATCTTTAATTTCATTCTAAAAATTGTTATTTTATTTTTTATTGTTTATTAGAAAATATTCTATGTAAATTTATCCTACAAATTGTTTGCATATATATCTATAGTTTTGTTCTGTGAGATAAAAATAAAACAAATAAAATTTAATTTGAAAAAATTTCATTTCAAAAAATTCCAATTATTTTCTTAACCCATTATCCACCAATGGCCTTTTTTGGGACGTTTTTTCAAATTATTTTTTTTTTTTTTAATAATTGCAACTTTAGATTGAAATATAAAAATATTACAAATTCTTACTATTTTATTTAAATTAGTAATAAGTTTTAATAATTTAATAAGTATAAGTTTTATTAAGTAATAAGTTAAAATAGTATAATTTATTTTATTAATTATTATAAAATAATTTGAAAAAAAAAAACAAAAAACAATTGTTGTAAAAATAGTTCTATTTGTTTAGTATAAATATCAATATACAATTAATTTAATTTTTATTTGTACACTTTCATAATATGAATTGACACCGACTCTCTGAACATTTTAAATAATATTTCACATATGATACACATGACACATAAAATAATACAATGAAACAATTTATATACATATATATATATATATATATTACCATTTAGAAACATAAGAGTATACTTTTCTTTTGAACGATAAGACGTAAAGATGTCGTCTTGGCAATTTCACTGTGACGATTAAGAAAATTTCTCGTCACTGCTTTTGTTCGTGAGAATGCTACGATAAAACGTCGACAGAGAGAAAGAGAGAGAAAATACGACAAAAGGATTTTTCCTTCTTTTTCTTATTTAATCGATCTTTTATCCTAGTCAAATAAATTCTCAAAGGTGGTAGAAGAAAAAGAAGGGGAGGAAGCATCTTTGTATAAGTATGTATGTTTGTATGCGTTTTGAGAGACCAACTCGATTCAAAGACAGACAGATAGACAGACAGACAGATAGACAGACAGACAGATAGACAGACCAAGGTCCAAGTTACACAAAAGAAAGGATCCAATTCTAAGAGAAGACTAAAGAAAAAATAAGAAAGTAGGAATTAAAAGTATAATAAAAAGAATATTAGATAGTACTTTGATGAGAGTAAAGAGACACAGTTTCTTTTTATTAAGTCGTCGTTTCAAATTTCTTCTTCCACTAGAAACTATATATATATATATATAGTTTTATAAATTCTTAATTATCCTCTTTTATTAACACCTAAGAGAGAATTATCCCTTTGATATAGTTTTTTACGGTAGGTTATGTCTTAGTAGAGAAGATATAATTCTGGCATCATCATTTTATTCTTTACTTCATTTCACGAGTCCACATAATTATGAGAATAAGACGCGATTATGAGATTATAATAATGAGTAGTCTCCTTTTGTATCTTATTATTTTAACAAAGAGACATACACACACACACACACATACAGAAAGAGAAAGAGATAGTATTTCCTTCTTTTTGCAAGTAAGTTAAATAGGTTGAAACTTTGAGCGTTAAATGGTGTATTGGGAGTAGGAAGAAGAAAAGGGTGGGTTTGGTTTTGTCAAAAAGATCATTTCACATACAAAGAAAAAATATATATATATATATAAAATATACATAATTGTACGAATACATAAATATATATATAATATACATAATTATATATTCGTACATACCTTTTACATACACATATACACAGATACACACAAGTAAATAAATTGTATTCGCTTTGTGGATCGTGTGTCCCCCTTAAGGCCCTTCTACCCTTTTCTTAGCATACACATATACATACATAAATACATACATCCATACATACACACACATACTCGTAAGGTTCTTACCTCATTCTCGAAGCGAGCATTCTCATTGGCATCGGGTTCCTTGCAATCCGGAAGTTTCTCCTTAACAGACAACAGTTTCGGCTTTCTCCTTGATCTTCCATGACGTAATTTAACAGTAACCGTCTTGGTTTTGAAGTTTTCCGCAGGATATACGCAAGCCAACATGGTTGTTCTCTGTCCGTCTCCCGTTGAAGAACTTACTAATAAGTTCTTTGAGGAAATATCAATTTTCCTCTTATCTTTGTTCTTTATTTCCGATATCGTTGCTATTATTTTGTTTATCGCTTATGCGCCAATTTAGACGCAATTAGGCGATATTTAATTTATTCACAAATGTCTCCCCCCTTCTACTATTTCCTCTTTTTCTATTCCTCCTACTCCTCTTCTTTTTTCTTTTTCTTCTTCTTTTTCTTCTTCCTTATCTGGTCTTGTGTTTTCAAACTCAGAACAGTTATCAACTTCTTCTTCCTATTCTTCTTCTTTTTTTATAGTTTATTCATGTGTATTATACGATACTATACGATATACTATATATATATATGCGTTTTATATTAATGGCCCTTTAAAAAAATAAGAAAATGTTGTTGACCTTCCAATGAAGTATTACTACTACTACCAAGTAGTATATGCAAGTATTTATCACATTTTTGTTGTATACAGGATGTAACATTCAAATTGAAATACTTTAATAATATCTACGTTTGTTTATGATAATTAATAGAAAAAAAAAACTAAATGTATATGTTCAGATTAAAATATTTTAAAAAATAATTTATTATATAATTAATATCTTGTCAAAAAAAAAAAAAAAATATAATAATACAATAAAACAAAAATTATTCTAAATTATTATATAATAGTATTATAATAATTTTTTATTTATTATAATAATAATATTATATATATTATTATAATATTATATTTTATAATATATTATATACTATATATATGTATATAATACTATACTATATANTTATCACATTTTTGTTGTATACAGGATGTAACATTCAAATTGAAATACTTTAATAATATCTACGTTTGTTTATGATAATTAATAGAAAAAAAAAAATATAATAATACAATAAAACAAAAATTATTCTAAATTATTATATAATAGTATTATAATAATTTTTTATTTATTATAATAATAATATTATATATATTATTATAATATTATATTTTATAATATATTATATACTATATATATGTATATAATACTATACTATATATATTTGGTGTATAATATATTGTAATATATATAATATAATTATTTTATATATTATATTATATATATTATATTATATAATAAATATATATTATTTAGTATAGTATTATATATGATATAATAATAATATAGAATAAATACTACATAAATAGTAATTTAGTATTATATTATACAATATATATAATACTAAATATTTTTTATTATTATTTAGTATTACATTATATAATATATATATAATACTAAATATATACTATATATATATATATATATATATAATAAAAATTTATTTTAATACTATTAGTTACAAAGATAACTATATCTTATCAACACCATTACTAGCTATTCAAATCATGTAACTTTGCATTACAAATTTATCCCCCGTTCCCCATCCCCCTACCACCTCCTAAAAATATAAACAACGAAGATCTTTAAGGTATTTAAATTTAAATATTTTTCATCCTGTTAGATGCATACTAAGACAAAAATAAAAAAAAGAAGACACACACACACACACATGCACAAATGACACCGAGCGAAGGTTTTACGAGCTTTCCTCCCCATTTTTCTAATAAAAAAAAAAAAAAAGAAACAAAAGATAATAAACTCGTAATAAAAAAAGAACGTTAAGATATAATATCCTTGTAGAACCCAAAAAGGTTTGAGTATTACATTTTTTCATCCAAACTCATGTTTATAAAAGCATGCTAAGGAATAATACAACCCCCCCGTATTTCCCCACCACTACCCCGTTTTACCTTGCTTTTATTTACTTTATCGAGTATATCCCCTCGTAAACGTTAAGACTCAGGCTAGATAGGTGATGGTTAAGTATAGATATGGGCATTTAACGGAATTAAAGTTAAGTACCCCTAGCCCCGTATAACGGGGGATAAATATGGTCTGATGATAACCGAGAATCTTTTTTCATTGCTTTAATATTTTGAGCCGTTAGGTGGTTGAAGGAAGAAGATGAAGAACATTCTAGTGATGATAATTTACCTCTGTCGATCCCTGATGCTTGTGAATTGTACGAGTATAAAAAAGCATGTATGTATACGTGTCTCTATGTATATGCGTTCGTGTATGGAGAACTATGTGTAGGGTGATGATCTGTGTGGAAGTGAATGAGTGAGTTAGAAGGAATATAAGAAAGCGTGTATATATACGCGTCTTTATGTGTGTGATTGATGTGTGTAAGAAGGCTATGTGTGGGGTGATCTGTGAGTAAGTGAATGAGTGAGTTAGAAGGAAATAGAAGCTAGTTTGGTTGGCTATAATAGAGAGAGTCCTGCTATTAGCCGAATTACTAGCTCGACTAATTCCGCATATGCTACTACTGGATAAAGTGAGTGACTAAGGGAATGAATGAGTGAGTTAGAGAGAGGAAGAAAAGCTGTAGATAGATGAAGCGCATTGCCCTGAAGCTGTACAGGTTGTGATCGGTAAAAGCCGACGTAATTGTGGGCTCTAGCGTTAATCCAAAACATTCTAGATTCCATGAGCTTTGCCTTTGATATTGCTACAGGCTCAACTTTGCTATAACTATTGTGAACCAAAACTATAGTGAAGTTTATATATATATATTTAATTTAATTTTATATATATATAATATTTATATTACCATATTTATATATAATAAATTATAATAATTATATAAATATTAATATAATATAAAATTATATTTTGAAAATTAAAAATTTTAAAATTAATTTAATTAATTTTTCATTTTACATATTTTACATTAATTTAATATTAAATTAATATATATATTTTTATATTTTATATTAATTTATTATTAATATTAATATAATATTTTTTATGCTAATAAATATTTATATTTATATTAATAAATTAAATAATTGAATTAGGTTAAATTAATTATTAATTAAATAAAATTAAATGAAATTAAATAATTTTTATATTAATATATAAATATTTATTAATATGAAGAATATTATAATTATATTTATATAATTTTATACATATAATAATATATAATTAATATATAATATATATAATAATTTTAAATATATGGGAATATAAGTACATGTGTGTTTTTGTGTGTGTATATATGGGAACGTATAAGTGTATATATAAAGGTAGGTAGAATGGTTTTCTGTAATAGTGATCGAGCAACAGATACTGCAACAGGCTGGCAATTTCCCATCGAATTTTTCTTCACCACTCTTTTTTTACCTTCTCTCTTCTATACAAACGTTTTTATTCTATCTATATATATATATATATATATATATATATATATATGTTGGTTTATTTAATTTAAAAAAAAAATAATCAATTAAAAAATAAATTACTATACCTGGTTTTTATAAATGTGAGAAATGAAGTTAATTTGTACAAAAGAGATTTTCTTTTCTTTTTATAGATAAATGTAATTGAAATGTTTTTTTTTTGTTTTTTTTAGTTGCATGAACACTGTACTGTTGTGAAAATTAATTCAGCAGATAAGATAATCTATATACAGAAAACTCAGTGATTCTTTTTGACATGAGATATTGTTCAAATCTTCGATACAAATAATTAAATCGTATCTTTCTTTCTTTYAATTACAAATATCTACATTGGTGGGTAGGAAATAGGGGATTGTGTTTGTATAATGTCACATAATGAACTTAGGTTCTCAACCATTTCCACGTTTCTATTGATTCAAGAATTATTAATCCTCTTTAAAGAGGAAAATTATTCTCTATGGTAATATATTTCTTTTTAAACAAAAAATTTAATCTGCTAAGATCTTACAATCTTCGTAAATAATTATTACACACACACACACACACACACATAATTTTAATTGCAATAAATGTTGATAATTTTATCAATGATATAAAAAATAAAATAAGAAAAAAGAAATACGATGATAAGTAAACAAAATTTAATCCCGAAAGATATGGTTATTCCAATTATAGTGAATTTCTATCTTAGCAAATGTAACCTTTTGACTACTATAATAAGTTCGATATATATATGTATGTATATGTATATGCATGTATCTGCTAGTTCGAGAATATCACCAAGAAGTTAACTGCTTTTAAGTAACCATAGCAATAGTACCAACCCTTACACGGTGTTTGCCATCAGACCCTAATATCTACAGCTTGTCCTTGCCTCGAGAAACGTAACTTTACTTATGAGCTTTATTTCCATCTCTCTCTCTCTCTCTCTCTCTCTCACTCTCTCTAAAATCTAAATCTCTCTATCTCTGTCTATCTTTTGAGACTTGTACAACCAATTTCGCAGGCATTTTAACGCGAAAACGTGGAACAACTTCAATCCTTTTTGCCAGATTTATCCTACTATGATAAGATTTAGTTTTGCATAAAATGCAAAAGTATTTTCTTCTTAATTTTTCATAAAAAAAAAAAAAAAAACAAAAACAAATAATAATAATAATAATAATTGTTTTTTCGATTGATATAATGTCTCCTATGATTCATTTTAAATTTTAAAACGTGGAACTTTTTTTAATACACGTCGTTTGCTTTGTTTATTTTTTTTTACATTTACACTGTTATTTGCTATTCAAATTGAAGCTTGTTTTATTTGAAATGTTTTTTTTTTCGAATTCTTAATTAATAAAAATAATTACTTTCAATTATATTTTTTTTCTATAAAGTTCTTCAAACTTTTATTTGGAATATTTTGTTTCGAATTCTCAATCAAAAAAAAAAAAAATTAATCAATTATACCTTTTTTCTATAAAGTTCTTCAAACTTTTATTTGAAATGAATTTATCGAATTTTTAAATAAAAAAACTTGTATTCAATTATTTTATTTATTCAATTATAATTTGTTTCAATTAACTATAAAAAATTTGTTCAGTCATTTCTTTAGATAATTTTCAAATAAATATAAATGATAAAATATAAATCAAATAAATAATTTCATTTGCACATCTTACGATTTCAATTTCGTAAGCGTTTTTTAAATGAGAGAAATAAAAAAAAAAGAAATGGCGTAATACCGAAATTCATTTCTAAAATAAATTTCTAAGATCCTTTTTCTATCTCGAGAATAAAATTTACTTATTTTTTCTCTCTTTTTTTTTGTTCTTCTTCTTCTTTCCAATACCCTATCCCTAATTCTCACAGTTAAAATGACTCTTTCTTATTTCTTACTCGATCTCATTTCTCGCGATGTAATGGGACGACAAATCGGGGGCGAAAAATACAACGGGGATGGTCAATAAATGAGAAAGCTTTTTTTTCTTTTTTTTTTCTCTCTTTTTCTATCTTTGTTAATTTATCCCTCACCCCTACCTCTTTTTTGTC